GGTCAGAAGGTCATGGGGGTCCCCAGTGCTCAGAGGAGAAGTAAAAAAACATGGAGAAAAGCTGTTTGTTCAGCTCTTTTGCTACTGTTCATTTGAAGTAAGAAGAGATAACTTAATTTTCAGGCTTACTCTAAAACTCTCTAACATATTTCCATCAGTGGTTCTTCCTTGTAAAAAGATATTCTTTATTGTAAAGAAAATTATTTCCATATTATGAAATATGGAATAACAATAAAAGTATTAAAAAGAAAGCAAGACCATCCATAAGACCACAACTTGGAAGTGACTAGGATTTCTGACTTTCCATCAGGGACAGAAGAGACGAAGGCGAGGAGTCAGTGGCCTCTCTTTTCTCCATTGTGAAGCTGTGCCAGGCAGGGCAGAGACTAAACTGAACCATCACCCAGTGCTTCCTCCTGCTCGGTTCTGTGCTTAGTACTCACATTCACTGAGCACCTCATTCTCAAAGTCACTATTATTGCCCCATTTTTCAAACGAGGAAACTAAGGCACAGAGGGAAGCAATCTGCCGAAGGCACTCTGCTCAGTGCCAAAGGTGGTTCAAACAGTCTGGCTCCAGAGCCTGAGCTCTCTACTGAGCTCTCCTTGGTCCTGGAAGCCCTCTTCTCTCTATCTCCCAAGCGAAGAGAGCACTCAAGACCAGCTGACATGCAAGCAGCTCTACAGGCCAAAGCCTGGCCCGAGCCTGCGGCTGACATTGAGGCTGCACACTGGAGCAGGTCCCTCCCGTGTGGCATTCGCATGGCAGTGCCACATGCTGCTCAGCCCCTGCTTCCTCGGACTCTCGGCAGAACTTCCCCAGGCCACTAGGCCATTCAACACGTCACCCCACCTGATATCTGGTCTTCTTACCCAAGGCTTCAAAGCTTCTTGTTGCCCCGTCCCAACTGTGATTTAGCTAGTGCGACCTGCAATTCTCCACCCCTTCAGCTCAGTGCTTTCCCACCCACCAACTCTTGTTGCTCAGGCTGGCTTTCCCTATCTCCAAGGAAAAGGGACGACTAGAAAAGCTGCGTCTGAGGGCCGGGCGCGGTGGCTCACGCCTGTAATCCCAGCACTTTGGGAGGCCGAGGCGGGTGGATCACCAGGTCAGGAGATCAAGACCATGCTGGCCAACATGGTGAAACCCCGTCTCTACTAAAATACAAAAAATTAGCTGGGCATGTTGGCGCACGCCTGTAGTCCCAGCTACTCGGGAGGCTGAGGCAGGGGAACAACTTGAACCTGAAAGTGGAGGTTGCACTGTGCCACTGCACTCCAGCCTGGCAACAGAGTGAGACTTTGTCTCAACAGCAACAAAAAAGAAAAGCTGAGGAGAGAAATGAAATCCATTATTGGAATGGGGAGCCTAAGGCTCTCCCCTGTAAAACAAGGGGTCGTCCTCGCCATCTCTGAGGTCCCCTGCCACTCTGGTACAGCGCAGTTTCAGTGGTCCTAATCCGGCGCTCATGAGAATGTGCATGCAGCCACCAGGGGGCACAACACACTGAAGAAAAACTGATTTCTGCCCAAGCTGTTCTGGGGAATTCTGGTCAAACTGGCAGGAGACGCTCAACTAGAAAGGGGAAACTCCACCCTGGGCCTATGGTCCCTAAAAGGGCAGAGTGGCCATTCTGAGTGGCTCACCAGCCAACATCGCCTCTGCTGGCTGTGGCTCACCTAGGTCCCCAGTCCCGTTTAGAATGGAACCAAATCTGACACCAGAAAGGGCCAGGCTTTCTGGAGCACCTCCAGATCACGCAGGATGAGGATGGCATGGAGAAAGCAGTGACACACATCGACTTGGACTTACCATCACTGCTCTCTCCTTTGCGGACTCTGTGGGGGAGAAATTCTGGGCCTGGAGACAGAGCTAGGAAATGTCAGTTAAATAATTCATCAGTTAGGGAACTTTGGGATTATCAACTAAAATGAGTTTTTGACATTTGTGGTTCATAGCATAGGTCAGCAAACTGGCCACCCCTCAGGCCAAATCTGGCCTGGTACCTGTTCTCATGAACACTGGAACACAGCTATGCCTACTGTTCACCTACTAACTAAGGCTCCTTTTTTTTTTTTAAGTAAAGGAATAAAGAACGGCCACTCCACAGGCAGAGCAGCCTAAGGCTTCTTTTGTACTACAACAGTGGAGAGGTAGTTGTGACAGACTTTGTGGCCCTTGACAGAAAGAGTTTTGTAACCTGTGGTTTACAGGCACAGCTCATTAGGAAAGTCTTACTATTTATTATAATAAATGAACTGGTATCAGCCGAGTAAAACCCATGCAATCAATGTGCCTTTTACTCACACACACACAGGCGGGACGAGAGGAACGATTCCATGGAGTATGACTAGGGTAGCAGCATCCTCAGTGACATTTGGCAAATGGCCCTGTCACACCAGGGTAAAGGTGATTTGCTGAAAGCAAAGGATTCTAATGGGCCTTGACAATTTGACCGTCACAAATCTCGACTCTGCATACTGCTTCGAGGGGTAGGACGTGCTGGCAGACAGCATCCATATGTATCTTGCATCATTACATGCATGGGATCTGGGCAGATGAAGGGAATTTAGACATGTGGACATCTTACTTTGAAGCGCATTCCTTTCCGCTGGCCTTTGTCCAGTTTTGGCTTTTCCACATAAAGAGGGTTTTTGAGCAATGTCTGGGCTTTGGGTTCAAACTGCACAGACCAATCCCACACGGTGAGCAGATTCAAAGGCTTGCTTTGTGTCTCCTGGCCTTCTCTACCCTGCCAAAACAAGCACAGGTCACAACGGCTTCCCGGGAGGGCTGAGGAAGGCAAACACATACTTCTGGAAACAGGCACCAGGAAGCGTGCTCCCACCCTGCCCTGAGAATGAATAATCATGGGCACTTTATTTTTAAAGGCTGAGGCTACCTGTGGTTATTCACTACATGCTGTTGGTAGGGGAGGAGGGCAAGAAGGAGGACACTTACTTTCAGGCAGTCTACACGCCAGCTGCTGTGCTGGGTGCTTCCACAGCCTCGCGAGGTAACTGTTGTTTTTCCAATTTTACATCTGAGGAAACCAAGGCTCAGAAAACTGAACTGCCCAAGGTCACAGAACTGGAAACTCACTAGGCTGGGCTCTGAAAGCAGGGCTGTCGCTCCTATTGCCCTGGGAGATTTGGTAATCTCCCAGCTCAAGCAAACCCTGCAGCCCTCAGGAGGCTGCTCAGAAGCACTGAGATTAGCTGGGAAAGCTATGCCTGTGGACACAGCCTCAGGAGGGACCAAAGGGGATAAGATGAAACGAAAAGCCTAGCTTCCCTGCTCTGCTTGCTCTCCATTCTCTTCACAGAGGAATTCCAGGCATTAAGCAGACGAAAGGGAGGACATCTGGTCTGACTGTTTTTGAAACGGACAGCTTTGAATTCTGCTTAATTTCTCAGCTTCAACACTTGCTTCCAATTCCAATTATTTACCATGTGACCACCGGTGAGTTACTTATCCTTTTTAAGCCTTAGCTTCCTCCGGGATAATAAAAAGCATAAGCCACAGGGTGCTGTGAGGATTAAATATTAATACCTAAGAAGCTCTTAGAACAATGCTTGGTATATAGTGTTAAATATCTTTTTAAAAATGCGGAGTGTCTCATGAGTTTGCATGTCATCCTTGTGCAGGGGCCATGCTAATCTTCTCTATATCATTCCAACTTTTTTTAGTGTATGTGCTGCCAAGGGAGCGCCATTTTTAGCTTCAGTATTACTGCATACTTGTGAGAGGGAGCCTCTTCAATACACAGGTTCCTAAGAGGGACTCTTACCATGTTAGTATCTTTTTGATGAGGCGAATTGAAGAAGAAGGTGCTAAAAATAGGTATGTATAGGCTATCTGACAGAACAGTCAGATAAGTCTCTGTGAATTCAAATGCCGGGGGATGCTGATGCACCAGCTGCCAGACACAATCTAGGAAAAGCAGGAACACGGGAACCTGCATGAAAACAAGATACGTTACTTGGTGGGCAGAGCCCAAAGCAAGCCATCCTGAGTTCAGGGGCAGCCACCTCCACAGCTGTGGAATAACCACTTCTGAGGACTTTGTTCTCTGGGAAACTCAGGATTCTCCATTCCATCCCAAGTGAGAAATATGCTAAACTGAAATCACATGCTTGTGGAATCACGTACCTATCTGTGTCAGACATTTCAAAGATGAAGTATGTAAAAATCTCATTATGGATCAGAGTTACAGTGAGCATCTGCAACTGATTCTGATAAAGGAAAACACTAACATAGAACCCCAATTAAGCAAAATTTTACCTCCTCCAAAAAAAAAATTCCATTCTTCTCATCGGCAGTACTACACTACCAAAAAATGTACTTAATTATGATTGCCACTTTGAACTTTGTCAATAAAAAGTAATGGGCAGGGGGGAAACTTCCATTCTCTACCTGGCCACACACTGACTAACAGGGTTTGATCCTGGAGACCGACCTGGAAGGAGAGGCCTCCTCTCTACCCCTGCAGTGAGGGCCCAGAAGACAATGGGGATGGGAGACAAGGCAGAAGCAGTGAAAGTGAGTTTCAAAATGTATGTTTACAAATCCGCAAGCCTCCTTTATTAGCTCCCAGGGGGGAGCTCTTGATGAGCAGGGAGAGTGGTTTCTAGTGTACTCTGTCATTTATAAAGCGCTTATCCTCCCTGATTCACCAGTGATCCTGCCAGGGGCTAAGATAAGCTATGTTATAGTCTCTCCCTTACAGAGGAGGAAATGGGGAAGATTTGAGATGCTGGAAGGCTGGCCCCAGGGTCTCACACAGGGCTCCTGAGAGAGAAGAGTCGGGATGCAGCTCCTAAAGCCGCTTCAATCAGATCACAAATGTCACCACCCAACTTTCCTTCAAAACTCCAATATGTCCACGTTGAGATGCAAAGAAATATTTGTACAGCAGCTTTATTTCACACTTCATTTTATGCATAGTATCATTAAATAGAGTGGAAAATATCCGAACTGCACTGTATAGGCATGGCAATAGGCTCAGAAAATATGAGTGAATTCTCCGAGGGCTGGGTAAACAGCAGATCTGGTCTCTTCTTAGACCTCAGACTCTTTCCCCATTAGACATGGTGCCTGCCAGTCCCCCTTTTCTCAAGATATACAAAAACATACGGCTAGGCATGGTGGCTCATGCCTGTAATTCCAGCATTTTGGGAGGCTGAGGCAGGTGGATCGCCTGAGCCCAGAAGTTTGAGACCAACCTGGGCAACATGGCAAAATCCATCTCTACAAAAAACACAAAAATTAACTAGGCATGATAGTACGAGCCTATAGTCCCAGCTACTCAGGAGGCTGAGTCAGGAGGATTGCTTGAGCCCAGGGGGTTGAAACTGCACCAAGCCATGACTGCACAACTGTATTCCAGCCTGGGCAACACAGCAAGACCATGTCTCAAAAACAAAACAAGGCCGGGTAGCGTGGCTCACACCTGTAATCCCAGCACTTTGGGAGGCCGAGGCAGGTGGATCACCTGAGGTCAGGAGTTCGAGACCAGCCTGACCAACATGGAGAAATCCTGTCTCTATTAAAAATACAAAATTAGCCGGGCATGGTAGCATATGCCTGAAATCCCAGCTACTTGGGAGGCTGAGGCAGGAGAATCTCTTGAACCCGGGAGACGGAGGTTGCAGTGAGCCAAGATTGCACCACTGCACTCCAGCCTGGGCAACAAGAGTGAAACTCCAGCTCAAAAAAAACCCAAAACAACAACAACAACAACAAAACTCTTCTCCACACAGTATTGGCTCTCTGCCTACCATGTTATGTAAATGCCATCAACCTTTCAAATTAGTTCCTTAAAGTCCCTTGGACTGAAAGATGTGATTTCTATTCAGCTCAATGGGACACAGAGGAGTCCAAGCCAGGCCTGAAAGAAACCATCTAGCTCAGTGAGAGAGACCTGGATCACCCCAGGAACCCACCAAGCCCATGACATCAGGAGCCATGGCTCTGCCCACAGCATTCTGTGTCAAACTGTTCTGCACCACAGAGAGACATGCTGACTACCTGGAGTATGAAAACCACAAGTCATGCTGCTTGGCAGGTGATTTGATTAAAGAAAGTTTGTCTGTTTTCAGTTTTCTTTCTACCAATCATCAAGAGGGCAGCCAAGGGAGTGTGTACAGCTGTCACCTGGACATGTATACCACAATCTGGGGGACTCATTTTCACCAGGTGACCTCAAATGCTAACTCTCCTGTGCCTGAACTTGGAGGCCCAGGCCTGGAGTGATTCATCCAGACAGAAGCAGAAGAGGCTGTGGGCATAGTCCCACACAGGCTACCACTAAGGCCCTGGTAACAGATAGCATTAACATAACCATGTGCTTTATTTCCTTTTTTTTTTTTTTGAGACAGAGTCTCACTCTGTCGCCCAGGCTGGAGTGCAGTACTGTGATCTTGGCTCACTGCAACCTCTGCCTCCTGGGTTCAAGCAATTCTCCTGCCTCAGCCTCCCGAGTAGCTGAGACTACAGGTGTGTGCCCCCACACCCGGCTAAATTTTTGTAATTTTAGTAGAGATGGGGTTTCACCGTGTAAGTCAGGATGGTCTCAATCTCCTGACCTCACGATCCACCCGCCTCGACCTTCCAAAGTGCTGAGATTACAGGCGTGAGCCACTGCACCTGGCCCTTGTGCTTTATTAAAAAAAAAATTATGTGCAAGGAAAATTTACTAAATGTCTGGGCGTGGTGGCTCACGCCTGTAATCCCAGTACTTTGGGAGGCTGAGGTGGGTGGGACACCTGGTTAGGAGTTCAAGACCAGCCTGGCCAAACATGGTGAAACCCCATCTCTACTAAAAATACAAAAAACTAGCCGGGCATGGTGGCACACACCTGTAATGCCAATTACTCTGGAGGCTGAGGCAGGAGAATAGCTTGAACCCAGGAGGTGGAGACTGCAGTGAGCTGAGATTGCACCACTGCACTCTAGCCTGTGCAACTGAACAAGACTCCGCCTCAAATAAAACAAAACAAAACAAAACAAAAAAATTGACTCTGAAAATCTAAAATCATTCAGCTCCAAAATCCAAAACTTAAAAAAAAAAGAACTTCATTTATTTTGAGACAAGGTCTCACTGTCACTCAGGCTGGAATGCAGTGGCACAATTATGGCTCACTGCAGCCTTGACCTCCCAGGCTAAAGCAATCCTCTCACCTCACCCTCCCTAGTAGCTAGGACTGTAGTCAGGCACGACCATGGCCAGTTTATTTTATTTTTTGGTAGAGACGGGGTCTCTCTATGTTGCCTAGGTTGGTTTCAAACTCCTATTCTCCCAAACTGCTAGGATTACAGGTGCAAACCACCATGCCTGGCCTCTAATTTTTGGATTAAGGATGCTCAACCAGTAATGGAGTGGAAATATTCCAAAATCCAAAACAATTTGAAATCTGAAACACTTCTGGTCCCACGACTTTCAGATAAGGGATATTCAACCTGTATTTTCGGTAGAAAACCTGCACCTTGCATATCTATTCATTGCAAAGACGAATTTAGTAGAAAAGGTAGAAGTCTTCTTCACTGAGTTACTTTATATTTGTTTTATTAGTAAGTATTATTCCCACTATAAAATATGTATACACTTTGGTGTACACAATTTAGAAAACTCTGAACATACTTATTAATATCTCTTTCCTCTGAGAAAGTTTTCACTATTATTTAAAGTATTCAAAGTCATCACAAAATGAAATGATCCCAGTTTTCTTAACAAACCTGTTTGGCTTACGCTTTGCAAGCAGTAACCCTACATCTGAAGGCAGGTATTAAGAGACTGCGTAGTTCTCTCCATGACAGAAACAGTCTGCAGTGAGGAAACTTACCTCTTCTTTGTCATTCTGGCGGAGATGGTTGCAGCGATCCAAGAAACAGTGGCCACCCATGACCCACTCCTTTTGGATGAGGCTCTGGAAACCAATTCTGGTTCTGCAGTGGGGGTCCATCATCAGTTGCACCAGAGAGGAAATGAGACAGCAGAGGTCGGACGCATTCTCCTCTAGGAAGGGCCCCAGCAGCAGTGCAAAGAGGAAGGAGGGCATAAAATGTTAGACAGTTTCAGAATGCTCTCATTTGTACAGTTAAAAGTAGGATTCCCAACACCAAGGTCTACTATTAATGGTCATGCTCTTATTCCCTAAATGCAAGGGCCAATGACAAAGGGTTAGGTTTTCAAACTGAGATGAACTGCTCTAGCATGTCTAGTACAGGTTCCGGCATACACTGGGACTAAGTATGTATTTGCATACTGAATACATAAATGCAGCACTGCAAAGCTATTTTCAGCATGTGGGGGTCTACATGTGCCACACCTACAGAGACAGTAGAATCATTTACATAATGATGACCTGCCAGCTTCCGCAGGCCAAGACTAAAGCCCTTCCTTCCTGGGGTGTGGAAGCCTCCATCACTGAACTCACTGCTTCACGGCTCAGCTGCTTCTCAAACTCACCTCAGACCTCCCTTCCTCCACTCCTAAGTCCTCCACTAACTCTACTTTGGAGAAGGTTGAATATTTCTTGACTGTAGCAAATTTATTACTATTTTCAGCTCTAAGCCTCTGTCCTCTTCTGTTTGAGGAGCACAGAGGTGCCTGCTTCTCTGCCTAGCCTAGGAAACTCTAAGGTTCTATCCTTTCCTGTTTGAGGAGCACAGAGGTACCTGTATCTCCTGCCTAGGAAGCTCTAAGGCTCT